AGGGCAAAAATCGTCCTCTACACGATGGTAAAAACCGTAGATCGCTAGGACTTTTCCATAAAAAGTTATTCGAAAAACGCCACTCTGCACTGTATTTATGGATCGATAGTAGTACCGTTTAGTAAGATATATTTTTACGAACTGTAAAACAGAACGTACGCTAATACATCTTTGGTTTTTTAACATAGCACAAAAATGCACACTTTGATCAACCAGAATTATAAGATCTACTTTTATTGTGAAAGCTTTTTTTAAATTAACGAACTCGATCATCAATCTTTTCAGACTTTTAAAGTTGAAATGTCTGCCGAAAAATATCAGAATGTAAATTAGATTCTTTTGAGAACCAATCCTATTTCTGACTGTCATAGAGCGGGAGAAAAATATACCAGTCTAACAGATTCGCCTATAACTTTTGAATCGCTTTACAATCCGAGTTGAAATTTTGACTGTCTTGGTTATATCCCGGTCTATGCATGGTTCAAATTTCGATTCGATGAAGCAGATAGTGTCTAAAATAATTTCTGAGGTGTAGATTACATGATTTCGCGTTGAAAAATTAGTTCTATGATAGATCAGAATATACGTCGATTTAGTTTCTGTATTGATGAGAAACTTGTTAATTTGTAGCGTAGACAGAGGTGCAGAATCTACCCGTGTCGTGTATGGACAAAGTTCTGAAAGCTGTGGAAATTTTTAAAAATTGTTCCAACGGAAAAAAATGTGCATTTTTTTCACATAGGAGGATTTAAGAATTTTCTGAATAATAAGAAATAAACCGATAAAAACCTTTTCTAAACTTCCAATGTGAAAATTTTCCAAAACTTTTATTGTTCATGGAAAATTTAAACTCACGGGCAGATTCTGCATTTCTGAGCGTAGAAAAAAATTAGTAATATTGCAATATAAGCTAAAACTAGTAAGAATTTGATACTTATCTCTATATGCAATATCTGTGGTTAATTATATTAGTACATTATGCTATGAAACACTTGCGTTCTAAACCATCATTCAGATTTGGCTGGTGTTGAATTAGTAAGTGGTTTCTTTTGTATACAAACTAGTTGAGAATTATGGATTTATTTTACTTTTAGTGCATCGAGAGATTTCTCCCAAGTATCGCACAATCACACGTGTTCAACAACAACGTTATCCCATTCTTCGTTATCAACAACCCTATATACATAGACAACTACAAGCAAAACACCGGCAGATGTATGCGATGTCGTCACGCAGAACTGTTAACATACCAGTTCGTCAAAATATTCCATTAAAACGAACAGTAGGCAGAAAACAATTGCAAAAAAGAATTCATCTGGTATCAAAGATACCGGCAAGAAAAACCATAATAAAAACAACAGTTGGAACAAAAGAGGAAACAAGATTACAGTTAGAGGAATTGATTCAGCGCGCAGCTACAAATTTATCGAGTGTGAATACCAGAGTAGGCCCAACAGTTGGAATTTTTCACGTTAGTCCAGTTTTCCTATAATTCTACATATTCTTGATGAGAAAATTCTAACGAAAGTAGTAGAGTTGATAATTGGAGCACTGAAAAATGTTTTCGTCGTTACAACATAAACCAATGAAGTTCTTCAGATTCCGTAGTATTCGTGCGTCTATTTTTAGACTCTACAAGGTTGTTTATCATCTGGTGGCTTAGGCTTTAAATTATCAATAGTTGTATTGGGAATACTGGGAACACTGATAGGCATGGGAATCAAATCGTTACTTCCAGACAAAAGTAATTTGCTTATTTTTCACGTTCTATTTTTGTCATTGTGACTTTTATTTTTCTTTAGAGCCTGGACTATCAACAAAAAAGCCTATTGTCTCATCCACTTTATATGATAGACAAATAATAGCTACAGTCTTTTATCCATCTGAAAAAAATCTGACAATGACGTCATTTTCACTAACTACAAGTAGTTCGTTACATTATAATATTATAGCTATAACCACTGTCATCTCTACAATGATTTCTATTTCTCCCTTTACGCATATAGTATCCAGTTTAACTTTATAGAATAATTCTTTCAAAATTCGGATATACATTCAATACACTTTCGGAAAATTTTTCATCAATTTCTCTAAATGTAGTCCATTTCGAGTGTCTTTCAGTATCTGGCATTTCTTTTAAATGTTTTAATATTATTCCAAGAATATTTTTACGTACTAATAAATAATCGTCAATTTCTTTGCTTGATGTCACCGCGTGTACAAATGACATATTCGATTGACGTTCAACAATATTATCAACATTATCATTCTTATTGTTTTTCTCCATCATAAATTGATGTCGTTGAGCATCAGTTTTAGTCGATTTTACATCGATTATAGAAGAACTTGGTGCACTTTGCAGCTTTTTTCGTATTTTAGAAGTAATATTCGATGTTTTAACTAAGTTATTGTTTATATTCATTTTCTTTGTCTGTTTTTGTTCTTGTAGTTTTATTTCTTCAAATTTATTTTTTATTTTAACAACATTATCTTCTCCCATAGGAAGACTATTGACATTTCTTGAATCAAATCTATTTTCTACATTTGAATGAATAATACGAAAGAATTTCTGTAGTTGTCTAGAACGTGACTTTATACATAAATGATCCGTACTATTCGTGACAGTGGCCATAGTAGGTCGTACAATATCAGGTAATTCAACCTTTTCTCCATCATCATCTGTTGTATCGTCCGAATTATCATTTGAAAAACTTTTTTGACTCAATAAATAATCAATACCTTTTGAATTCAAATTATCCTTTTTATAACTACTATCGATCATATGTCGAAATTGAGTTCTGTCATATCGAAATGCTTGCAATTTTTTCTGCTGTTGTTGTTGTTGACGTAAAGTTTTTCTCTTATTTAAACTTGACAAACTAGAATTGTCTGCTAAATCAGGTAATGTTTGTTCACTGAAATTTGTGCTTGTTGATGAAATATAATTCGAATCTTCTTTGGTATCATCTTCGATAAATATATTCTGAAATGATTGTGATTCTTGAACGTCAAATACATTATTACTTTCAATCTTTTTTCTTGCATGATCCATACAGTGTTGATGAAAACGTTTTTCGAACAATGAATTAATACCAGGTTGATTTAAATCTTTAGTCGACATTAAACGTTGATGTTTGAGACTGTTTTGTTTTAATTCAATTATACGTTCAAATCTTAAACGTACTGCATTTTCTTGACGATGTTGTGTGTCTTTGATTAAATGTCGTCCTTTTAGTTGAAAAAATTTGAAATATAATCGTGACGAAAATGGATCTTCTGTTAGCATATTACTCAAATTTACACCGATTATTGAATTATTAGAAAAAGTAAGAAAAAAAAGTTGTTATATCTAGAAACATAATAAAGAGAAAAAGAACGGAAAATCTAATTATTTTTTTAAATACAATGTTAACCTGATTCTACAGCGGGTTGTATTGCCTGTTTGTGATCGTATTGTATTGACTCGATTAACAAAAAATATGTTATCTAGCTACATCGAGAGAAACATTTATCTGCACCTAGATGTAGTGACTAGGCATGCAACAATCCCAAGCCGGGGCTCGCTGATTGACACCGAACGGTTTGCAACCGAATATGTTCGGTCACCAAACGGTTCGCAATTGAACATGTTCAGTGCCGATCAGCGAGTTCTGGCGAATGTGTGTTCCATCGGATCGCTACCGAACATGTTCGGTCAGCGAGCGATTCGCTACCAAAGGTTTAAAAGAAATAGTTTGTCAAAGCTAAGAACAGGAGAGCGAAAAAACACATGAAAGAAATCTCTGTAAAACACAAAAAAATGGTGAAGATTACACCAAACGAAGGAGCAGCCATGATTACGCCGCAGCCAAAAATGCTATTCCTCACTATTCAAATAAAGTAGACAGAAAGTTGTAGCCCCAATTCGAATGTATCTTTATAAGGTTTATGGTACTTTGTTCTAATAGTTTCTCAGGAGAATGCTCGCCGATATCTCGAATAAGAAAAATACTATCTATTGTATTTGGAATCTTCGTCCGAACACGTTCGGTGACCGAACTATCGGATTGTTGCATTCCTAGTAGTGACCATTGAATTGGTGAAAAAATCTATCCGATTGTCTTTTATTGTTGTTAATTAAGTTCGAAAGATAATTAGTTGCAAAAAATACCTCAATCTGTAGTACGACTCTTTGTCTCTCTACCATACGATTTTTAGTTCATTGTAGTTCGAACTCATCAAGCTAACTAATACATAATCTAAAAACTGCATGTAAAATTTTCTATTTTCCATTTCTATGCATTGAAGTAAAAAGAGACACACGAGATTCTAGGAAACAAACCTCTACCGTATCCCAGATACTGGTTCTGGTAGTATGCTAAACTCTATCACATATGTGAAAATTACCAACTAATTACAAATTAACTACCATTTTATACCTAAGACTTTTTCTTAACTTTTTTAAAAGAAGTCGATTATTTACAAGTAAAATATTTTTCAAACGGTAGTTTCATAGAATAGACTTCCTTTTTCAAGATAAGTCACGCGATCTTCACTGACATTCAAATTGCATATTATGAATTGAATATGAATGTATGACTTTTAAGCCGTTCGGTTTCGATATTTTTACCGTTACTGTGATATAACCGAAACCGATTAGATGTGCTACTAATCAAAACTAAGACTATTGTCTATTTACTATTTTTTCAAAGAAATCGTTAATCTCTATAAAACTGTTTCTAGATGCGTCTTTGGCTAATCCACTCTTGTTAAGAAAGTTGATGGTCGTTGATTGTGCTTAGATTTTTAAAAATACCAACATTGGCGTCGTCAGTTTGGAAAGATTGAAAAAAAAGAGTTCTTTCCTTTGTCTCAAATGTTTTGTTTCGCTTTTTGGCTACTGAAAAGTTCTAATCTTTCAACTCAAAATAAAATGGTATAAAATTATGGATTTTTAACGATAAATCTGTCTAATTTCTTAAGTGAAAATTTTCTTTTATCAACACATGTGTTGATAGAAGAGGGACACATGTGTTGATAGAAGAGGGAAGGAAAGGAAATAAAGAGTATTGTTAAATACTCTAAGGCTTGTCCAGCTAACGGCTTCCATTTTTTGCTCTTTTTCGAAAAGTTATTGCAACAAAGCTACAAACTAATCGTAAATGACAGCTAGATAATTCAGTAGAATAAACATTTCTCTACAAAATGAAAAGTGTCTCAGCTCTGAACGTTGATTTATTATGAAAATACAGCTGTTGTACAAACAGCCCCAAAGATCGATGTTGAGGCTATCTAAAAAGCGTGTCTAAAACAGTGAAGACGAGCCGGCAAAAATTGACCAAGTATACCAGTTTGTAGAAAATTGTTTGCTCTACAAGATGTGATAGCTTGTCAAGTTCGAAACTATTCTGGTTAATCTGTATTAATCAAAGAAAAACCAGAAAAACCGTGACGGCGTGACAAGAAACGGTCAAAAGTGTCACACCGTCACGGTTTTTCTGGTTTTTCTTTGATTAATACAGATTAACCAGAATAGTTTCGA